CATACCACGAGTTATATTTAGTGAGAAAATACAATGAATTTTAGGAATTAAAAAATTTGTCAGATTGACATTTGAAATTAAAATGTGCTTTAAAATATAAAAAGACTTTAATAAACCTTATTTATTCAAACTTACCTTAATTTCATTATCGTTTACACCAACCCATCGATCTTTTAGAGTTTATAATTCATTATTTTATTGATATATATCAAACACAGAATTTAAATGACAACACATGTTAAATCAAGAAAAGTGTCAAAATTCTTAGTAACGTGTAAAAAAGATAATAAAAAATATTGCCGCTGGGATAAAATGCGGAACTATGGAATGCTGGCATTTTATTGGTTCTAATATTAATGAATTGTATTGTCTAATGAAGAAAATCCCCACTCGGTTAATATTTGGTTTACTCCTTCATCCATAACGCCCAATGCACAAAAATTAATTAACGCGAACCTGCTTCCTCTAGCATTTGCACAAAAAAATTTTGACAGTGACAAATAATTTTTTTATTATTCAATCACTATGACACCAAGACTTAACTTTAACCATGGCACCAAGTCGGTCAACTTTATAAAATAAATTTCAATGTCACGTCATGCCAATTTTGGGCGAAAATTGATAACAAAAATATATTTGTTATGTTTACTTAAGGATACCTATTAGCGGCGAAGCATATTGTCAGTAGGGTAAACTAATTCTTTCCAACAAATTCATTTTTGTTGTAAATACTAATGTATTAAACACTTTACTTGGGTTAACAAATTTTTTATTAGGACCAACAAGAACAATTGCAACAAAAAATTTATTGCTTGATAAAACAGATTTGTTTTTTTAGTGTATACATAATTGTTGTTATTTTAAGTCAAACAGAGTTACAACAGCCTTTGACCCCAAAAACGTGCCCTGGCAGCATTAGGAGCCAGTTTGGGTGTATTCTAAGAGTTTTACGGGTTTTTACATAATGTGTCTCGGAATTAACATTTTTTATTAAAAACTATTTTGGAACTTAATTTTTAAACAAAAAGAGCATTTTTTCAAATATAGTCAGACTAATAGTCAGGTAATCCCCATATAATAAAAGATTAAATTTAAACAAAAGGCTCTTTAAAATTATTTTTACTATTTGCTCCAAAAATTATTATTTAGTTTTACCTGTGTGTATTTTACTAAATAAAGGTAAAGGTTAAGTTTTAACAAAAAATCAGGTAGGTAATTATGTTTAATTTAAACAATTATTTGCATTAATCCTTTTAGGAAAATATAAGACGGCCTATAGAGTGGTATGCTTATGTTTTACGGATAAAATGGCATCCACATCAGGTGTACAAAGCCGAACCAAGGATAAAATATTTCTTGTGGGCTATCCCATTCACCAAATCACCGGTTGTAAACTACCCTCAAATCGTCAAGTTTTGTGTGTTTTATTTTATAATTTACGTGCTGTAAAATTAACTGTAAGAGAATCAGCAAAACTTGCCATACGAGAAGTGTTCATTTTTTGGGAGAAAGCTCGAATTCCGACTAAACATAAGAAAGATGCAATTACTAAGCTGGAAAAACTTTACGAGTGGAGAACTCTTCAAAAAGACCGGAAGAAAACATCGGAAACGGCTAAGAACAAATTTAAACAGTTCGTTGAAAAGTTGGATGATCTCTTTGATATTGCTCAGCAAGATGCCTTGGCTCTGATGAAATCGGAAGAAGATAAGGCGTTTCTCGTGAAACAGAGGCAGAAGGGCCGCCCAGGTTCCATGACTGGAGTGGATCTCAAGTTGTCTCGAGCTGAAGAAATCAAGGGGCAAAAGGAACTTGCAAAAATGAACCGACAAATCCAAGAAGGTATTTGAATGCAGAGTTGGTGGGATTATCTTTTTTTGATCCCACCATAACAGACGATGAAAAGTTGTTAATGGCTAATAAATTGGTCAGTAGCACAGATGAACCATCAGAGCACGCTAGGGTTGTAAATCCAAAAGTTAGGAAAGAAAAATTAAAAGAGGTAGTTGATGAAGGATTGGTAAATTTACTTACCAAAGAAACATTTACATTCTTTAACCGATTTAATATAAAAACAGATTTCCTAAGACAACATCCAAACACCTGGCCTCAAAATAATGACTTCCAAGAAGGATTGAAAATTGTCAAAACATTAAAGGTAGTTAATGATATGGCTGAGCGTGGTGTTAAATTAATAACCGACTTTAACAACCTTCTCACTAAAGATGAAGGCCAAAAGCAATATGTCCTGCAAGTTGTAAGCAAATGCCGAGCATTATATCCTGACGTTTCAAAAACTACTTTAACAAAAGCTCTAGAATAGATTAGATAACTATGTAAAATCAACTCATGTAGTTACTACGTCTGTATCTTTTCTGTGTCTGTTTTGTATGTATTATATACCTAATTTTTATATTTTAAAATAAAAAATATCATTAGATTTATCAGTATTACTTTTTTTTTTATTATACTTCTACTTTAAACTCAAAAATATACAAAAAAAAAGCAAAATTTATCACTTAATAACAAAATAGCGGCACGGGCTAACGTCGTTTAATCGAGCTCAAATTTCGGCTCTCAATATCTGGAAAGGGGAATCGTTTTGTGGGGTCCAGACGAACAAAACTCCGACATTTTTTTCCACCTCCTATGAGTTGCGGTCACCCTAATATATATATATATATATATTTATACAGGGTGTTTCACATGCGTGGTTGGGTTGGGTTGGGTTGGGTGGTCCATTAGAAGTTTCTGGAGAACGAAAAAAGATATCTATTTGAAATTTTAAAAGCGTTTATAATCCATTTAAGTATATTTTTTTTTAATATTTTAAACAAAATGCTACTTTCGGTTTATCCGGAAGTGACATCAACTTTGTTATTTTAAATAAAACACCCCATATATTTTTACATTTTTAAATTCTACATAAAATTCTGATTAAAATTACCATACCATGTCCTATACCTAAAGTGAATAGTTTAAGGGTTATTCGTTTTTTTTTTTGTTAAAATTTGACAAATGCGCGTCAATCAAAAATAGCCTATAACTTTTTTTACTAGGGTTGCGAATATGAGGTTGGAATTTTTGGAATCTTAAAACATTGTTTAGAAGATTCCATGTCAATTCTTTAACATTTTTTTAACAAATCACCCGAGAAAACCCAGGGCAAATTAGGCTAACTTGAAAGGTTAATAACTTTTTTATTTTAAACGTAACAACCAGTATGTTTTTACCTAATCAAATAGTAAATTAAAAAACCTTTCGAAAAACATAAGAAAGGCGACTTGGCAATCAGGGCCGTATTCCAAACATTTTAGTATGTTTAATACTGTTTTTATAAAAAATTATGAAAACTGTATATTTTTTGAGAAAAAAATCATAAGAAACACTGTAAAATCGACCAAATTATTTTCTGTCTATACATTTATTCCTTCGATTTTTATGAATTTATAATCAGTAAATGGTTTTAAAATGAGAAAAATAATGTTTTTTGTGAAACAATTTAAATCTAAAATATCTCGAAAACAAGAGCTAACCTAAAAAAGGGACTAGTGCCATTGTATTTAGCCTATTCGAACTAGGTAATCCCCCTGGGTGCCCTGCTTGTTAGAAAGAAAGTTTCCGATTCGAGCACAGTGTTATTAGTCCTTCCGAATTACAACAAACAATTTCGCAAAATACTAGTGGCAAAAAGTAAGAAAGACATTAAATATATATAAATATATAACTCTAAAATAAAAAAATATTTCGTATTTTGTATGTTTTAAAATAATATTGTTTATAATGTAATGTTGACAAAATAAAATGTACGAAATAAATGATAAAAACCAAAAAACGTAAAATGACCCACAGCTCGCAAGCGGGTGGGTGTTGGGTGCGTGTGGGAGAGGGGTAAATAAAACAAAAAAAAGAAAAAGAGGTACCTACGTTGAAAAGCAATAATTGCTCATTCTAGCACGTATCTACGTGCCACCATTATGTAAGAACAGGGAAGGCCCCGAGTTCTTTGTTTGCTGTAGGGGCCTGTCTTTCATAGTCGTAGTCAGTTTTTTGATATAAGGGAGAAAAAAATATTAAATTTTTCTCTACATGACCTAGGTCACGACTACGAAAGACAGGCCCCTACAGCAAACAAAGAACTCCTCAACTGCAAACAGAAATCCCATATGTTTGTATTAATACTAACGTCCCGGTTTAGGGGATTTCGTGTCGTACCCAGATTTGGGTCCTTTTGATCCCACTGGGCGTATAGTAACGGCCCGGCGAAACCGGGAGAGGCTATTTAAAATATTCGGATGTCGCTGTCAAGCCCCCTACAAATTATATTTATTTATTTTTGGTAAAATTTACATTATAAAATAATTATTAAGTTACCTAGACTGTATATTTTTACCGGCCTTAAATTTGTATATTTACTTTTATTTACTCCTAATTTATAGGGTAATGAATTGGCACTAATACTTTTATAGTTGTCAGAAGAAAATTGATAAGGTAATAATGTATCACTAAATTTTTTGACAAAGTCAGATGTTAGATGTAAGAATTTCTTTATAAGAATTATATACTGTTGGAAAACTTTATTGTCAAGGAGGAATGTTGTGTACATTTCTTAATTTAATTCTTTCAAAATTATGCCAATTTCAATTGGTATGAATTGAAATTATAGAAATTATATTTTAGTCGGTTTTTACCGGCGTTTTATTTCCTTAATTGTAATTCAGCTAAATTGGAAAATAATTTTAAAACTATTGAACTAAGATTTCAATCGGTTTAAATCTACGTTCGATTTCGCCAATTCCAATTGTATATAAAAAAATTAAAATTAAAATATTATACTTTTTTTAAATTTTATTTTAAGATTTAGTATATTTAAATCTTTATAATATACTAAATCTTAAAATAAAATTTAAAAAAGTATAATATTTTAATTTTGATTTTTTTATATACGGAATATATTCCGCAATTTTAAAATAATTAAATTAACAATTGTAGGACTGTATGACAAATTTGAGCCACCTCGGTAAGTTGATATCAAAAATTCATAGTCAAGAAAGAATAACCTTAGGATTACATATTTATTTATTTTATTTAGTATTTTGGTATTCGTGCAATAAATCTACAAATTACATTTATTTATTTTTGCTAAAATTTACATTTAAAATTGATTATTTAGTTACACTATACTGTATCTATCGTAGTTTTCTTTATAATTTCTACAAAATGTTCATCTTTATTACTTTGTTCCTTGCTTAAAGTTACTTCGCTTTTATTTAGTGTCGAACCTCTCCGTAAATCGGAATAGCCTTCTTCAAAAGTAGAGTAGTTATATGAACAATTTAAAAATTCCGAATTGGACATTTTACAATTAGTTTTTACGGGCCTTAAATTTGTATATTCATATTTATTTATTCCTAGTTCGTAGGGTAATGAATTGGCACTAATATTTCCATAGTTATCAGAAGAACATTGATGAGGTAATATTGTATAATTAGATTTTTTGACAAAGTCAGATGTAAGAATTTCTTCATATGAATTCGATTCTGTTGGAAAATTTAATTGGCAAGGTTGTGCACATTTATTTATGGAAGCTGAGTAAGTTAAATTTTTATCTGCTAAAAAAAATGAATTGGAAAATCTTTGTTCTGTAAAATTATAACTTTCTGGGAAATATTGATATTTGTTTCTTTCCATATTAATAGTATTATTCTTTACTTCATTGGTATAACACTGCCCTTTAAATGTAAATAAACTAGGAGCGCCTTGGGTAGAATTATCAGAAAAATTTGAAATTTGCGCTCCGGGTTCTTCACCTGGAGCGCAAAAATGTAAATTTGAAAGGCCTTTATTTTCTTTATGTAAGCTTTCACTATTGAAATACAATGTATCCTTATTAGTTTCATTTAATCTATTACACTCGATATAATTTATTTTCTGACTGTCCAAATTTAATTTATCTTTTTTGACCAATTCTTGACGTTTCCATTTTAAACAATCATCTTTTTTTTGTTTTTTCTCGAGTTCTAGTCTCATAATTGTATGAATATAGTGAGTACGAACTCTGAAGGGGTTAAACTCTATTCTACCAGTTAAATTTCCACAGTTATCCCTTGAACAACCACATGGAAAATTTAAGCGATCGACTTGACATTTTATGCCTGCTTGATTGCAAGAGCAAGTATCTGGATCGCAAAACTCTTTACAAGCACAGCCGCAAAATTCTCTTGATGATCGAATATTTCTACATTCGTCCTTTTCTCTGGTATCAATTTTGTTAACACCTGCAGCTCGTAAAAGAGCCCTGCGTTGTCTTGCGGGTACTGGTTGTAAAAAATGATAATTATCAAAATCCATTTCAGATTCAGAGGCATCACTGGGTTCTTCTTCACTATCACTTTCATCACTTGAGAAAGATGTATTAGTTTGAACTAAAGTTCGATCCATTTTATGCTGCTGAATAAGCTGTCGATGTAATTTGCGTTGTTCATTTGCATGTTCTAATAAGGTAAATATTTTCATATGGGTATGTTGCGTTTCCATGCCTAAAGTAGATCCACCTTGCGAAGGTACACCACTAAACCCTTGTATTCTAGGAAAGTAATAAACTGTCACGTTATTAAAGGATATTCCTTTTCTCTTTTTGTATTCGGGTTCACTACTTTCAACTTCTAAAGGTAGCCTTCTTTTTAAATTACTCCTTAAAGGTTTACTATTGCTTTCCATATTCGTTTTAATAATTATATTTTCATTATAATTTTCATTTTTGTTAGGTAAATATTTTATTTTAAGTGTATTTTTTTCTATTATATTCTTTTTTATTTTATCCGACAATGAAAAAATGGTTGAAACATGTCTATTAGATACTGATAAATTGGAACTAGAATAAAATGCATCTGATGGTTCATTATTTTCCACACCGTTATCGCCGGGTGCAATAATTTTGTATTCTGCATTTTTGCAATCATTACATTTTAAATCCTCCATTGTTTTTTTCTTATCTGGTCCATTTTAATTATAAGTCAATGTTTGAAGGTTATCTTCATTTTACCTAAAACAATTTATTTATATTAATAGAATATAAGAAAAAATTAAAAGCAAGAAAGTAACAAATAAGGTATATAGTAGTACCAGCAAATCATTCAACTTACACAAACTTAGAAACGTTCGTGGTGGAGGGACGAGGCTAGTGTATTATTTAACCAATTTTCAACAATGACTAATTGTGTATTTATAAACAAATATTAAAAAAATCTATTTTTTATTTTAAATTATTTATAAATTATAAACTAATTTTGCAAAATTTTTTCTATTCCATAAACAAATAACGACATAACTTTTTTGTTTCTTGAACGATTTTATTTTGGTCTGTGATGTCTGCTAGCCTCATCCTCTGGCAATTCATGCTATAGATATAAAGCTCACGGTTCTTCAAGTAAATTTTCTACAGGGTGATATGTTAAACGGTGAAATTTTTTTTGATTTTACTTTGAAATAATGAAGTTTTATGTCTTACCTTGAAATGTTTTTAAAATTTTTCAAATTGAAATCTTAGCAACGAAAATGTGATTTTTTTTCAAAAGAGTACATTTAAGGCTTTTTTGTAGGTAATACACTCAGTCTTTTTAGGAACAAGAAGATAAGATGGTGAAAGATTGTTCCCTAAATAATCCTGAACAAACGACAAGCAACAAACTTTCATTATTTTAAGGGCCTAAGCAAAGACCACTTTTTTAAAATAACATTTTGGTGAAACTTTGCGAAAACTAAACCATAACCGATATTTACGTTCTTGACAGGTTTTCTTCATAATGTTTACCTCCTGATTGTGATTCAGTTGTCAAATTTAAGTTTCAGATAAAACCAAAATCACCAAGAATCAAGGCTATTAAATGTCTCAATAAAATCCGATTGCTGGTTTTTACTGTTTTTTAATGTGTTTTGCATCTTTAGTACGTTATTATCATGTCGCTGAATGATTAAATCGAGGACGCATTATGAGTTTGCTTGTGTTTTTCCAAAGTTTTTTTTGCATACGTTATACCTACCTACCTACATAGCTACCCCTATCTTACCCAGGTTACTTCCATTCTTCCTTTAAATGATTAAAATGCAAATGCCAGACTTTGCTGCAGCTACGGGAATTAACATCTCCAAATCAACGGTTCGCAGAAACGGGAGGCAAGGGTGGCTTTTGGAGGTGGAGAGTGACTGTTTGGGGTGGAATGGCGATGAATGGAAAGAGTGAATGCTGAGAGATATAGAGATTTAGTTGTTAGGGATATCGTGGTCCCTTATGCTCAACATGTTGCCAATAATTGGTGTTGGTGGACGACAATGCCCGTCCGCACCGCGCCAATATCGTAAATGAGTATTTAAGGGACCACCATATTGAGAGAATGAATTGGCCACCTTTGTCTCCGGATATGAATCCTATTGAGCATGAGTGAAGCAGGATGAAGCTGAGGATGAAAGAGAGGGAAGGACGCATGGAAAATTTGGATGAATTGGTAAATGATATTCAGGAAGAATGGGATACCCCAGGAGTTTCTAACGAATTATTACGGGTTAGGAGAGGAAAAAACGAATGCAACATGTTGTAGTTTTGATTATGATTATATCTTCGCATAAAATTTTAAAAAATAAACAAAAATATATTTTTTTTTAACTTTATTACCAATTAGGTAGATACTTATATAGTGATAGATAGTGCGCAATGTAAACATATTGCAGTAATTTTGCCTAAAAAATTAATCCCCAAATAACATTTTAATCATAAATATGCAAGAAACATGCCAGCAATCAAATTTTATTAAGACATTTAACAGCCGGGAATTGTTTTCGAATTTTGATTCTTGGTGATTTTGGTTTTATCTGAAACTTAAATTTGACAACTGAATCACAATCAGGAGGTCAAAATTATAAAGAAAACATGTCACAAACGTAAATATCGGTTCAGGTTTAGTTTTCGCAAATTTTCACCAAAATGTAATTTTGAAAAAGTGGTCTTTGCTTAGGCCCCTCTGAAAATAATGGAAGTTTGTTGCTTGTCGCTTGTTCAGAATTATTCAAGAAACAATCTTTCACTATCTTATCTTTTTGTTTTTAAAAAGCTTTAAATGTACTCTTTTGGAAAAAAATCATATTTTCGTTGCTAAGATTCCGAAAAATTTGAAAACCTTTTCAAGGTAAACGGGGCTAGGATGAAGTTATTGAAATTTTTTCACCGTTTTACATATCACCCTGTAGGAAATTTACTTGAAAAACCGTGAGCTTCATATCTATAGCATGAATTGCCAGAGGATGGGGCTAGCAGACATCACAGACCAAAATAAAATAATTCAAGAAACAAAAAAGTTATGTCGTTTTGAAAAAGGACGAACTTTTTTGTCGCGACACATTGAGTGGTGCGCAGTTTAGATTATATTATAAATTATATCTACAAAAAATGGCTGATTTGTCTAAGGGGTGTGGCAACGTGGGAGAAATTTGTTTTTCAAAGCGGCAACAATTTCTTAGAGATTTATTCCTATTTAAATATTTTTAGTAAACAAATTGAATGTTATACATTTGCTAATAACCAAAAGTGGTTGATGCATTTTTATAAATAAATAAATAAATAAAATTTTTAAATAAAAATTAAATATTATGTAGGTATATGCAGGCTTAGGCTTAACAATTTTTAGAGAAATCTACCGGTTTAAAAATAATATTAACTAATATTTAAAGACACTAAAACAGTAAAGTAAAGCTAATATAGGTATTTATATAAAGATGGCGTATATAAGTTAATATATTGTCAAATAATTTAAACGGCAACCAGGGTTTCCAGCAAACATTAAAGCGTCGGCCGATGATAAATGTTGGCAATTGATTTAGCCGATATATTGACCAGAAAACGTCGGTAGTATGTCGAATCAACATTGTTTTTTTCATTGGTGGTTTTTCGAAATAACACCAATTGTGGATTAAAAAACGTTGGGACGAAATCATGTTTATTTTTCCAGATGTAAAAAGATTAAAATATTTACAATTATTATTAGGTATTTAAATGTTTTATTTATATAAAGAACAATTAAATTTTAAAAACCCTAAATATTTAGATGTCGTTTAATTATTATCGGGAAGCTAACGGCGGCAAAGCCCCAACGAGCAACCATGCGTCAAAGGCGTCATTAACAAGTAATTTTCTGACTATTATAGTCCTATAGAACTGACTAGTTTTACATTTTACCATAGAAAAAATGCTTCAAAAATTCTGATTTCATCGCAAAGTATACCCTATAGGGTAAAAATTCACTATTGCAGCCGGAAATCCTCGTCTCGACCGAATCCACCGAATTCCGCTGCCCTTAGTTTACGACACTGTTAGACGACTAATTGTCGGCGTTTAACATACATCAAGAAGTCGCCAAGTCAGGACTATTTTTAATAGTAGGTAGTCAGATTTAAATTAGACTATGGTGAATGTGATTAAATGCTATCAACATTAAACCCAGCAATCACAAATAACAATAAAATATCAATTAATTTAAAAAATATTCATTTAATTTAAATGGTTAATATTAAACATAATTGATAAGTGTGCGTCTACAGACACATGTGTTTATCATAATTGGTACATACAAACGTTTCCCATTAGTTACAAATATTAAAAAAAGAGAGACATATGAAGCCCCCTAGTTTTTAGCAAAAACACCCTAAGCACATGCCAACGCTTCCATTTCCCTTTTTTTCCTTTATTTAAAAAGTGTAGTTGACAAAATGGTTAGTTTATTTTATAAATCATAGTGTCGCAAAGCGCTAACATGTTATGCTGGCAGGATGCATAGATTAAGAATCCATGAAGGCAGTAAGGAGTAAAGAATATGGTTCAGGAAAAGGGGGAGAAATATAAATGAGTGGAAATGCCAAAAACTTCCCCTTTTACAAAGAAAAAGGAAGTCATCCCAAAATATCCTTGTACAGCTACCTGGGGTAATTGGCAAAGCAAAACAAGCTAATAATACGAATTTTGGAACGTATTGATTAATAATTAATAATACAATGCTACAGGAGATTATTAAATGTACCCATAAATACATTGAAAGCATTCAAGAACAATTCAGTCGACCTAGAGATGCTAAAATAACTGATATTGTTAAAATTAAGACAGTTATTGGCTTGCTGTATTTAGCTGACGTTTACCACGCATATCGGTTTAAATGAGCTATGGTCAGAGGATGATGTACAGAGATTTAAAAGGACCATGAGGAGATTTCGTTTTATAATGCGCTGCCTAAGGTTTATGATATAGAATCGAGAATTAAGAAATATTTTTGAGGCATTTGTAACTAATTGCCAAAAGTCATACTCTTTGGGTCAAAACGTCACTATTGATGAGAAACTAGAGGGATTTAGAGGACGATGTATGTTTCGCCAGTTTGTATATGTAATTACCAAATGTCTTACTCTTTGGATCAAAACGTCACTATTGATGAGAAACTAGAGGCATTTAGATGTATGTTTCGCCAGTATATACCTCCCAAGCCCGCCAAGTATGGTGTAAATGCAGATACCTTATGCAATGAAATATATCAAATATAAGTGTTCCATCTAGTGGTTTTTAGAAAGAGTGTACTCTGGTCTCTTATGTACCAAAAGCAAAAAAAAATATTATTTTATTATCAAGTATGCATTTTGATAATAACATAGATTTATCAACGGGTGCGAAACAGAAAAATGAGATAATAACGTTTTATAACAGAACTAAAGACGAAGTAAACACTGTCGATAAAATGTGTTTATGCTATAAAGTTGCTCGGAACACAAAACGCTGGCCGATGGTGGTATTTTTTTCTATATTAAATGTTTATGGAATTAATTCCTAAATAATTTTTGTTGGAAACCAAAATAAAATAAATTCTGGAAAAAGTTATTTACATCTCCTTGCTAAGCAGTTAACGGAGCCAGAAATCCAAAGGCGACGAGTGACAAATGTACAGTCTGAAAACATGCCCAGAAAAAGAAAAAGATGTTTTCTGTGCTATTCACTAACATAAAAATCCAGTC